CTAAAACATTGTTTGTTTAATAGGCAAATCACGAGTCATCTAAACAAAATATATTTTTTTTATATATTTTACTATAAGCCTGAATGTGGAGCGCGCCTATTTAAAACTTTTTTCTTACTAAGTAAATCACACTTGGGCTTGTAACAAAAGTTGTAGAGCTCATCAAAAGGCATTTAATGGTAGTAAGAATGTCAAAATTGGCTTGGTGATTCTTGAGAAATCTTTAAAAAACTTCTTTTTTACATATAAAATTTCTTTTAAAAAAATCAATTTTTTTTAAAGAAATTTTATATGTAAAAAAGAAGTTTTTTAAAGATTTCTCAAGAACTACTAAGCCGATTTTAGTGTTCTTTCATTATTAAATGCATCTTGATGAGCTCTACAACTTTTGTTACAAGCCCAAGAGTAATTTATTTAATAAAAAAAAAGTTTTAGATAAAGCCACTCCAGATTTAAGCTTATAGTAAAATTTATATATAAAAAAAATTTTTGTTCTGTTGACTCATAGATTATCAATTAATATAAAAAATATAAAATAATAAAACTATAATTTTGATATTCTGTAGTTACTTTGTATAATCTAATTGCTATTTATATATAGCTACTAGCTAATCTGCTATATTAATAAGATATGATCAATTAAGATAATATTTACTAAGAGCTTGTTTAACTACTGTCTTATAATATAATATTGCTAATCTGATAATGTCTTCTTATAGAGAAGTAAAAAAGAAAAAACTATTTAAAAAAAAATACAAAAGCATAGAAAAATATGATAAAAAATACAAACAGAAAATAAAAAAAAAATATGAAAAGAAAAATATAAAATTTTTATACACATTAGATAGTCATAATTATAAGCCTGTATTAGGCTTTATAAAAATTATACACTATTATATATAAACTAGCCTTTACTCTAAATTTATATAATTAATATATCTAAGTAAAAAAATATTGTTTAGTAAAAAAAAATTGTCACTTTTTTGACTTTGGTACTACAAAGAAATTAGAAATTTATATCAATAGTTTTAAAGTACTGTTTATCTAAATTGTTATTTTTAAGATATATAATTAGAGTGTGGACCCCCAAGCAGTAGGACTAGAGTTCAAATCCCACTGGTGACGAAAATTCGAATTTATAGAAAATGTATTTGGAAGACTATCCTATTGGGTTGTAGAACTTGTAATAGTAGTTGTACCAGCTTGTCCTAAGAGATAGTGGAATATATAGTATGATGTATGAGTTATACAAAACTCGAGTGAAGCTACTAGATAAATCCAGCAAATTTACAGGATATGGGAGCCTACTTGCAAGACCTAAGTGAAGAGATAGCACAGATTTTTGATGGTTACTATGTAAAGGATGATCAATCATATATCAGAAAACCAGACAAGACTGAGGTGTTTGGCAAAGTATTATACCAACCAGGCCGTCGGATAACCGGAGGAAGAGTTCCGCCCTTCTGGGCCATTAGATTGGAAGTTTGAGTTTCCAGAGGTATGAGAGGGAGTCTATAAAGTAGATACCGGGGTTTGGATAAACTCTATAAGGGCAGTAATAAATAACTATAGCGGCCTCAGCTCACAAGTACTTGTTCTCGGACTTGGTGTAAGTTACTGAAAAGGCCTAGTCTGGAAATGTGTGGAATATAAAAAGATTAGGAGGGTATATATTACACCTTCTCTAAGGTAACTCGGTAAGTATGAGAACCCTACTGGGTTATCTACAGAATTAGAACACAAGTAGTATAGCACATGTTGATCTGAGTGGTCTTCAATAAAGCAGTATGAGATTATGGATTGGCGTAATTAAGGTGGTGGTGCAGGACAGAAGACATCAAAAAGTTTAATTGAATAGCTCAAGTAATAGTAGGTTATAGATACAGCATCTAGTGTAAACCCTAGTAATAGGTATCTACTTAATTAAGCGCCCAAAAAGCACAGGTATGGCTAGAATATACTCTCATTAACCAAGAATATACTGCTAATATACCTAATAAAAATTCGCCCTTCCACAACATTGCGAAGGTAAAAAAAAAAAAAAAAAAAAAAAAAAAAAAGATATATAATTTATATATTTATATTCTATATGAATCTATATATTTTTTGTAATAAGTAAAAAGTAAACAATATTAACTGATTTGGTAAGTAAACAATATATCGATCTTTTAGAGAAAGTAAACTTACTCATTTACTTTTTATATAAAATTTTTCTGTAAGTTTTATAGTTATATAGGTAATTCTTTAAGTTTTCATTATTTTAGTGAAGATCTTTTAACCATTACTTGTTTTTAAAATATCTTTTTAGTTTGGATATTGAATCTTTTAAAGAGTCTATTAAATAGAAGATAGAAAAAAAACTTAATATTAAGAAAAATCATTCTAATTATGCTTATATCTTGGTATTTTATATCTTTCAGACTTTGTTGACAACAACCTACTTAATAATAAAAGCAGAATAAATTTTCTAGTTTGAATACTAAATATTTTAGAAAGTCTACTAGTAAAAAAATTTAAACCAAAAAAAAACTATCTAAGTTACACTTACTCTTTGGTATTTTATATCTTTAAACTCTATCAACAATGGTTTCTCAAAAGTAAAACTGAGAAAAGATCTATTTTTAACATTTTTATAACATCTTTTTATAGTTTGGTCTCTTATTGTTGTTGACTAGAGAATTATTAAAAAAAATTTCTTTAGTAAATAAATATTATATAATTAATAATAGATTATTGGGCTTTTTAGATACACAACAATATTTTTTGATTAACTCTAGTTAAATTCTATAGTTTTCAATCTTTTTACCTTATTTCTAATAACTTATATTTCTTATATGAATGATGTATTTTTTAACTATATAACACTCTTTGTATATTTTTTCTCTATCTAATTTGATTACTAATTAGCTTTCTAATACTAAGGAGTATACATCTAAGGTATATGCAACACAGTAGTAGAGCATAGTTATCTTATTTGATTTTTATTTGGCTTTCTATCCTAGAGAAGCATAACAACTCCAGATGCAAAATATAGCAGAGCATAGAAAGCTTATTTGTTTACTATTTAGTTATTTTAAGTAATATAATAGTATTAAGATACTTAACTTTTTAGATAGAGCCTTGTTCATGCTATATATACACACTCAGTGTATTTTTTTTTTTGGTCTTGCTTGAATATCGATAAAATTTTTGATAAGGGCAGAGCCTATAACTCGAAGAGTTGCTCTTATAAAGCCTGCTTTACAATAATAAATAGCTATCTAATACTAAGAAGCATGAACTTTTAAGTAAATGTGATGCAGATGTGAAGCATAGTAGTATTCCATAAGATTTTTATTGATAAAAAAGATAGATAAAAGCAGAGTCTATAACTCAAAGAGTCACTTCTATAGGGTCTGCTTCGCAATAATTTTTAGATAGACCCTTTGGGTCATTGCTCCATAATACACAGATATTGAATTTTTTAGATACACGAAAGTATTTTTTTTATTACAGCTTTAGTTTTCGAGCATAAAACTGCATAACATAATATTTTTTAGCATGTTTTTTGTAACGTTCACAAGCAGAAGCTGTAGGCTTTTCACAATCATTACATAAACCACATTTTTTTGCTTTTCAATATTCATGACATCCTTTAGGATGCCAACACCCATGGCCACAGACTTCTCCAGAGTTATTTATATATTTACATATATATTTACACCACTTTTCGATATATTTATTTGGCTTTCGATATATTTACTCAGCTTTTCGATATAATCAATAAATATTTCGATAAATTTTTATAAATAAATAATTATTTTTTATTTAAATGAAAGATCTGGTTATATTAATAAAAAACACAGAATACAAATATATATTACAATAGTAGATAAATGTCCAGATTGTAGATTCACTTCAAGAATAGATAAAACTCATGATTTGAATAAGCATATAGATTTAATACGATTCAGACCATGTTAAGCTTTCTTACAACTAACACAAGTACAAAATGCATCTCATACAAAAAATGCTACATCAGAGCAAAATCAAGTACCAGTTTCAAAGAGTGATCTCATATCATTCAATAAAAACCTACTAATGTATCAGCCAATAGAAGCAAGAGAGCCAGCAGTTGACCCTGGGAAGAATCTAGTTCAAAACAAAATAGTGTGAACTACCGAAATAAAACTATCTTGATTTATAAAAATATAGCAAATGAATTTGAATTTTATGATGAAAATAGAAAATAGTATGGAGTTAAAGAAGATTTTTATAGATTATCTAATAAGTACTATTTTATTAAAAAATTTTAAAAGAAATAACTATAGAAGCTTATAAAAGAATTAATGAAGAATCAGAATCTATAGCAGAAAAAACAAATAGACAAGTCGATATATGAAAATCAGAAAGTTATACATTAACAAGTTTAAAACTTTTTAGAAAAACTACTTTAGTACTAAAAAGAAGTGAAAAATAGATGCAAAAAAAATGTTTGATTAAATTTAACATCAACTAGTGCTTTAGTATTTGTAGAGAAATATGAAGGAAAAGCTATTCAATATGATGTAAATTCAAATATATGAAATGTTAAAAAAAGAAGCATTATGGCCAATTGCTACAAGTAAGTTTCATACTATAGATGTATCATTAGTGGAAAAATAGAATAAATTTCCATATGAAATTTTTAAAGCAACAACAGAAGAAAATCCTCTGCAGAAAAGCTTGCAATGTACTAAATATTTACAATATAATCTACATAGAATTTATACATATTTTGATTTAGAGTATGCTAAAAGAAATAGTTTAAAAGTATATTTATTAGATGAATTACCAAATGCACTTATATATAAAAAAAATACCTGTGTTAGTAGAAGTGATATGTTCAGTAAATAGAGAAATATATTATACAACATTAAAAAAGAAGATGGAACAGCTGGAAAAGTAAGTAAAACATTATTAGTTTCATTATGGGGTGTTCTATATAAGCAAAGAAATGGACAAAATTATAGTATACACCTATGAATAAAACCATTCTTATTAGCATCAGCATGAAAAAGAATATCAGAATTGTAAAACCACTAGGAGATCAAATAAAACGTATACATACAGATGGCTTTATTGTAGCTGAAAAAATAAAACTTAAAACAGGAATAAAAATGTGTGAGCTAAAATTCAAGAAAAAAAGAGTTTGTATAGTAAAAAATTGTATATCAGTTACATGAAAACCGTTATATCCAAAAATTCCAAATTTGATTACAAATAATTTATCAGATTTTGAGAAAATATAACAAGATAAAGAGCAGTTAACAGTAAAAAGAAAACTTTCAAAAAAGTTTGATATAAATGTTCTAAATGAAATTATAATAGAAATATTTCAATATTTATAAACACAAAATGATAGATTAAGATCCAAAGAATCTTTTGCTTTGTAGTGTGGTAATAATGAATTAATGTTTTCAGTTTTATATATTAACAAACAATGAAATAAATACATAACATATTTGATATAGATAAAAATTGCATTATATAAATATAATATTAGAAATTTTGTCAAATTAATAAAAAAGAAACCATTACTAAATGCAATAAAATATATAAAACAGATAGAATTTGAAAGAATAGATAATTATTTTAAGAAAAAATCTAAACAGTACACTATGCACTTTGTGCACTTTATAGCAAAATTAAGCCAGCAATAGATATTAGATTAGATTAAAGTTAGGATTAAAGTTAGATTTAGGGTTAGAGTAAGGTAAAATTGTAAGAGAAACATTTTTGCTTATATTATATGACAGGATTACCTAGTTAAAATTTTGAGAAATTAACAATTTTATAGAAATTTTATAGAAAAGTGCACAAAGTGAAGGGTGCACTGTATAGTATTATCCTTATTTTAATATGAATGAATTTCTATTAAAAGACAGTGTTTTTTTTTTTTATGTTAAGATGACCACTTTAGGGTTTGGCATGTTTTATTAAACTCTAAATCGAATGTTAGGACAACCATATGGGCTACCCTAACTTTGTTACATTAACGAAAATACATTCTAGCTATATATACAACTTTTGGTTGTCTTGTATATGTAATCTATATGAACTACACTAGATGTCATACCTATAATCCACTATTACTTGAGTTACCCAATTAAACCCTCTGATCAACTTAGCGCTATTGGATATTTTCTCCAAAGAGGGAACTGCTGCTAAGGCCCCTTAGGACTACTTTATCCTTGTAGTAAACCTACTAGAGTGGTCTATGTTCCACACATATATCACCTAGGTTTTCAGTAACTTACGTCTAGGCTGCGGCCAAGTACTTGCAGCTTTTTATCTCTGCTACCATTACCTACTCTGTGCTTTTGCAAAGTTCACCCAAACTCCAATACCCACTTTACGAACTATCAACAGTACTTTGATGCCAACTAACAGTGCTCCAAACTTTCAATTCAGATGGCCTGGGAGGGATCAGTAGGTGTCCCCTGATATTTCAAATGAATCCTTTTTCCTTCAGCTGATTCGGCGGCCTAGTTGGTGTAGTGCTTGCCAAACACTTGGTTCTCGTTCAGTTTACTGCTAATGTCTGATTCCCCAAATGATAATCTTTTACATAGTACTGTCAAAGATCTGTACTACTTCTCTACTCAGGACTTTCCAAGCAGGCTTCTGTATCTCTGATCCCTTGGATTTATTTGGCTGCTTTATTTGGGTTTTGTGTAATATATGCATTACACTACGTTCTACAACCTCCCAATACAAGTTGGTGAGACCAAAATTATAGGTGCTTACCTGATCGATATATTATACAGTTTTATTATAATGCATTTCCGCAAATTCGAATTTTGTTGCTAGTGGGATTCGAACTCTTGTCTTGCCACTTGGGGGTGCAACAACTTACTAACTATACTAAGTCACCACACCCTATTAAAAGATATTATAAATATATGCCAGAATATAATAACTATATTATTTAAGGATTGTGTTTGGGGGTTTCTTAACAATAGTTCACTAAAGATAATATTAGATATGTACAAGAATCTAAAGTATATATTTATCTATAGAAGTAATTGAATAGGACTAAAAACTGTTTTAAGTATACCAGAAAAATATATAAGTATAAGAACTATAAAAATACAAAATTGCAAATAAATAACAGATAAAATAATAAATCAATTAGTGAGTAAGAACAATCTATACTAGTAGACTGCTTTTTAGCAAATAAAATAAAAGTTGACTTACAAAGTGAGAATGATATTGCATTTCAAATTATAGAAGATATATTTGATGAAGACTAGTTTATGATAATAGATAAATAAGCTAAAAAAACTCATTTAGAAAATAATAATTAACAAAAAATGATAATTTTTTATTAAATAAAAAACACGTATTAAATAAAACTTATATTATATAAAACAAAATACAAAGTATAAACCAAGTATGACAGACAATAGTTCAAGTTTAATAAATAAGCAGGGCTCAGAGTTAATGATGCAGGAAGCTATTACATAGAAAATGATTGAATCAGCACAAATTAAAATAATAAAAGAAGCCTTTCATCTTTGATATAGAAAAGATAGTAAGCTTATTAATGAATATACTAGTTATATAAAAAATTTGTATAATGCTAAAAACAAAGATAAATATATAAAATATACTGCTATAACTCTTTTTTCGAATGAAGAAGCATATAACAAAAGAATAACTAGATATAGAAAATGGTATTAAGATAAAAAGAAGCTATGTATTAGTGTAGAAGATTTATATAATCTTTATTATAAATTATTCAAAAAAAAATAGACTTATGACTGAAACAAAAATTAAGGAAGCTGTTGAAGATGTACTTATAAACAAGTAGAGCGAAGCTCATTCTTTTAGAATAATTTAGTGAAGCAAGCACAGACATGAAGTATTATTATTCTATAATAAGTGCAAAAATTTAATATTATTTAGCCACTATATGACTGCCTTTAGCAAGTATCCATTTCAGAAAATATTTAACTTCCTTAACTATCATCAATTGTTTTCTTATATATGATTTTTCAGAACTAACACTATTTTCATCTGTAAGCTAATATAACACTGGTAATTTTTTTGTATTAGAGCCTTTTTAATATGAAAAACTTTAGGAGACTAATTCATATCAGTAATACATCTATTGCCAAATTCTAATTCACCAGGTTTAAAAAGATATCTTACTAAGTTATAATAAGTCAACTGAGGTTTATCATATCTAATGAGTCTTCTATGCTTTATAGCTGGTTTTGCAAATATCTTCACCCTCTTTAATGCTTTTTTTACTGCTTTATTAGGAGATATATTTATCAATCTGGTTGGAGTATTATTAAAAGTATTATCATTGATACAAAGACTTTTAACCC